GCACGCACGCACGCACGCGCACCACCACCCACTACGCACGCGCGCGCGAGCCACAGGTCCGCTACGACACGCGTCCGCGGATAGAGAAAATCAGCGCCATGGTAAGGGATGGGAGGGAGGGGTAGGACGTCAGATATGACGCGAGCGCACCTAGCTTGTCATCCTCCCCCCTACCCCATCCCCCTCCTTTCCTCCCCCTCTCCCTCCCCTCTTTCCTCCCTCCTCCTTCCTCCTTCCTCTTCCTCCTCCTCCTCCCCATCCTACCCCTCCTCTCTCCTCCTCCTCCTCCTCCTCCTCCTCCTCCTCCTCCTCCTCCTCCTCCTCCTCCTCCTCCTCCCCCTCCTTCCCTCCTCCCCCCTCTCTCCAACCGCGTCTTCTTCGGCGGCCACGCAGGACGCGGCTCCTGGACATCGTGGGCGGGGCCTGGCATTCTGTCACGACCTTGGTCCCCTGCCCTGGGCCCCCCCCCCCGGGGTCCACGGGCCTCCCCGGGGGGCCCGCGGGAGACTTCGGGGATCTCGGGGGCCTCTGGGGGTCGCCCCGTGGGGGGGAGGCCCCGGGCGGCCGGCCCCGCGCACGCCCCGAGGGCGAGGGCTGCAGCCGAGACGCCGAAGCACGGGCTGACGCCACTCTGAGATCAGCCTCGCAGGCGAGCCCGGGTGGGGCAGGTGAGGAGGAGCGGGCCCTCTCAGAAGGCTCGGAAGCGCCCCGGCCTTCTGGGCAGTTCTCGCTGCTTCCCCCGAGGACGGAAAACAGGGATCTCTCGGAGGGCGCCAGAGGCTCCTGAGACGCCCCGCCGCCTGCCGAGAGGGCCTTCGCCTTCAAGACGTCTCGCTTCACCCCCCCTCGCTCGCCGCCGACTCTCTGTGCCCAGGAGGGGCTCTGGCCGTCAGGCCGCTGCTTCCTCCAGGTCGCAGGGCCCCGTCGTGGCCGAGGCCGGCCGTGTGGCCAGAGGCGCCCCCATGCGCTCCTGCGGCGGCGGTGCCCGTGGCGGCGCGGTGGCTGCGTCAGGCGGCACTGCCATCCGTCGAGTGTGGGCTCCAGGCCGTCAGTGGTCGGGGCCCTTGCGAGCCCTGTCGCAGCTGAGGGAACCTCGAAGCACCACGGTGCGTGCACGAGGCGTTGGGGCGGCTCGCGCAGCGGCATTCCTGGTCGGGATCGGCCCCTTCAGTGCTTCGATTCGCGCCGAGTGTGCAAGCGAGAACCCCGGGAGAGTCCAGGCCCAGAGCAAGCGCGGAGTGCCCTGTGGGACGGAGTCGTCTTCAGGTTTTCAGGTTGTCTCAGGCTTCGTCCCGCGGGGTGCCGTCTCGAAGGAGGAGGATTACGATGAGGATGAGGATGAGGATGATGATGATGATGATGATGATGATGATGATGATGATGATGATGATGATGATGATGATGATGATGATGGTGATGGTGATGGTGATGATGATGACGACGATGACGATGACGATGACGATGGCGATGATGATGATGATGATGATGATGATGATGATGATGATGATGATGATGACGACGACGATGACGATGACGATGGCGATGGCGATGATGATGATGATGATGATGATGATGATGATGATGATGATGATGATGATGATACTGAGTATGATTATGATTATGATGATGATGATGATGATGATGATGATGATGATGATGACGACGCTGCTGATGATGGTGATGATGATGATGCTGCTGCTGATGATGCTGCTGCTGCTGATGATGATGATGATGCTGATGATGAGGATGATGATGAATAGATGATGATGATGATGATGACTGATGATGAGGATGATGGGATTTGATGAGATGATGATGATGATGATGATGATGATGATGATGATGTGATGATGATGCTGATGATGATGATGATGATGATGATGATGATGATGATGATGGAGATGATGATGATGATGCTGATGATGATGATGATGATGATGATGTGGATGATGATGATGATGGAGAGAGGAGGAGGAGGAGGAGGAGGGGGAGGAGGAGGATTAGGAGGAGAAGAGGACGAGGAGGAGAGCAGGAGCAGGAGCAGGAAGAGGAGGAGGGAGAGGAAGAGGGAGGAGGAGGAGGAGGAGGAGGAGGAAGGAGGAGGAGGAGGAGGAGGAGGAGGAGGAGGAGGGGAGAGGAGGAGGAATAAGGCAGGAGGAGGAGCGAGGAGGAGGAGCAGGAGGAGGAGGAGGAGGAGGAGGAGGGAGGAGGAAGAGGGAGGAGTAGATTGCAGGGGTGTTTTTGCTCCGCGGCGCTCCTCAGACGAGGGAGCACAAGCGGCTCGGAGCAACCTAGTGGCATGCCCCAACACCTGAGCTCTGATGCAGACGGTTCGGCTGAGCGGAAGCGGCATGCCTCTCCTGCCGTCGTCGAGGGGGAGGAGCAGGACGTGGAGCAGCAGAAGCAGGGGCGGGAAGATGAGGATGCGCGAGATGGGATGGATGAGCAGGAGGAGTTCGGTGGATTTGTGGCGTGGGCCACCGCGCGGCGCCTGGAAGCACAGGCATCTCAGATCCGACTCCTGGATGTGCCATGCCTCGAAGTTCCAGCCGTTCTTTGGTTGCGGATCCATGGCCGTCTTGGCTCAACGATGCAGCAGTCGCACCAGGGGTGCAGTGTCCCCTTCTGTGGTCAATGGCGAGCCCCGTCGATTGCAGTAAGGATGTATTTCTCACAGTGCTGGTGAGCAGTGTTGACCATTCGTCCGGCACCAAGGGGCGATACTTCAACTTCGAGTTATCTGCAGCATCAGACGCCCTTGGCCGACCTCTGGGCGATGGTGAGGTGCTTCATGTTTCGCAACGTCGACATGGTACTGTCATCTGGAGTGGTGCAGTTCGGGTGTGGACCCGGAGTAACGGTGGAAGCACGGGGAATTCGCACGGACGCAGGGACGCGGACCCCATGGATGGGCAATGGGAGAGTTGTGACACCTTTGATGTTCAGGCCATGCCATGCTCAATAGGCCAAGGCGTAGGACGACTGCTAGTCTGTCCCTTTGGTCATGGGCGTGGCAGCAGTACTGCGACAATAGTGTTGAGCCTTGACGAGGTAAGCCATACGGCTGCCTCTTTGGAACTCCCCGACCTGTCTGGACGTCTGCTATCATAGAGGCCTGCGCCATCCCCCTGGCCACTGGCCCGTCCGAAGAGGGCATTTGTGGCGACGTCCTAGATTGGTCGAAATCTACGGGGATGGTAAAGTGAAGGACTTTGAAGAGCAACGTGCTGATTGTTAGGAGGAGGACGGGTGAGAGGAAGAGGAGGGCAAACAATACCAGGTGGAGGAGGAGGAGAAAGCTTGGTCAATGATTTGAGCGTCATGAATGCTCAACTCGTTTCCATGATGCACTTGCTGCTGCTAGGACTTCTGTTGTGTGTGAGTTTGGCCTTGCTATTGTTGCTGCTGTTGTTTGCTGTGACCCTTACGTCAGATCTGGACATGTTGTCGAGGTCTCGTTCGCCTCTGGGTCTGCACGACCTTGCCTCACTGATTGTTGCGGTGTGGTCGCTGTTGCGCTGCTATTTCGTTTGCTACTATCTTCAGCGAGAGTGTACATGAAACGCGAACGGAGTGCTCGTTAGGGCTAGCCTCAACGCGCGTGCGCTCGAACACTTCGGGGTAATCGTGGAGTCCTCTCGGCGGGGCGCTGCTGGGCACTGCTGGGGCCATGCTGGGGCTCTCTCGTCCCTATGTTCAAAAGACTCGCCCAGCGTTCCCTGTGAGGCCCACGGGCAAGTCTGAACGTTTTTCGCGCGGCTTCTTCGAGCAGGTTGACGGCCTCCTGCATGCTCGCTGGGGCCTTCTAGAGGGCTCGCCTGATGACATCTTGGGGCTGCCAAGGGCCTGTTGGGCCCTGATGGGCCTCCCTGGGGATCTCTCGGGCAACCTTGGGGCTGTCTCGAGGCCCCCGCGGCCCGCCCTGATGGAGCAGAGGCGGGAATGCCAGCATAGGAGTTTGGATGATCGTGGCATATCTCGGTGGCTTCCTCGGGGGGCTCCAGGGCAATAGTGGGGCCCTTCTGGCACCAGCTTGGGCGGCCATCGTGGCAGCCCTCATGAGCGCAGTTCCGCATGCCATTTTTCGGGGGCCTGTGCGGCCAGGTGGGCTGTTTCGGCTGCATCGTTCGGCGTGAGATGATTATTGTCGCGCTCGTCGCCTCCAACGAGATTCTGGACCCCCGACGGAGTGGAAGAGGGGGACAGGGAGGGAACAGTCAAACCCCTCTCACGCCCTGCAACAACTGGCAAGCGGCGCCGGCGGATTTGATGCCAATGAAGGTGGCGCGCTGGCAACAGAAGGTCTGCTTTTTGGTGGAGGGGTGAAATTCATTGATGCCCCGCCGTTGATTCCTGGAGCCGCGTTCACAGTTCTGGTTGAATGCGTAGAATCTGTGCTTCGTGTTCAGGTCGACGGGAAGTTAGCAGTCCAGGTAAGGATTGGGACCGCAGCTCTTGGGCGGATCGCATTGCGCCCGCACCGTGGCAGGATTCGAGTGCACAAGTGGCAAATGGGAGGAGACCTCATCTCCTTGTCACCGCCACCAGGGGAGCTATCCGTGAGGCAGGCTAATGTTCCTCTTCTTCTCAATCGCCGCTACAACGTTGTGCTCCATTTTGTTATCAGTGGACCTGGCGTTCTCGAGGGAATACAACTGCAGACAGACAGCGCGTTTTGTTATTTGCAGCTGGCGCGTTCCATCAATGTGAACTGCGACAGACCATGTGAGGATTTGATGAAGGACTTCATCGGGTTAAGTCAACAGAACACGAGCCAATCTGAGGGAGTGCAAGAGTTCCGGTGCAGCCCCATCACACTAGGGCCCGGTCTGCACGGGTTTTCGTTGGTAGGCGGCATGGGGACATCGACTAGCATGGACAGCACAGTGGGGTGCTCGTTGCTCTCTGCATACTTTAATCGACAAATGGTCGACGTGCCCGTCGAGCGTGCGGATGTCATCCCACGAGGTCTACGTCCAGCCATGCGCTTACGCCACTCTGGCGATGATGGTTCTAACGGCTACCGGATCCCAGGACTTGTTCGAACTCAAAGCGGTGTTTTGGTGGCTTGCTACGACATTCGCCGTGAGAGCAACCGTGATCTTCAGGGTGATATTGACATTGGAATCTCTCGCTCAGTTGATGGTGGCAGAAGTTGGGAACCAATGCGAATTGCGTTGACGATGGGTGAATGGGGCGGACTTGGAAAACGCTACAATGGAGTATCTGATGCTTGTCTCGTCGCAGATGACATGACTGGCCGAGTCTTTGTTTTTGGCTGTTGGATGCATGGCTTGCGAAACAGTAGTGGTGGTTTCCGTGCAGACCTCCGTCCAAACAGCGAGGATTGGGCACACCAGTGGCACAAGGGACGTGTCGGTTCTGGGCCTGGGATTGAACCGCAGGAGACCGCTCAGTTCCTCATGAGCTTCAGCAATGATGATGGTGCCACTTGGTGCTCGCCGATCAACTTGACGAAGAAGTTGAAAGATCCACAGTGGTACTTGCTGGCGCCAGCCCCAGGCTGCGGCATCACAACAAAAACTGGCAAGCTCGTTGTGCCAGTGCAGGGTCGTGACGTCAACGAGCAGCCTTTTTCCACGATCATGACTTCCAGTGATCACGGCGAGACATGGATACTTGCTCCTACGTTCGCACGCACTGGGACCAATGAGTGCGCAGTCGCCGAGCTTTCTGATGGCCGCCTCATATTGAACATGAAGAACTGTACAACGAGGGACAGGCGATTAGTCTCGGTGACCGCCGATTCCGGCAACAGCTGGATTGTGCATCAGTCCGATGGCACGCTTCCTGAGCCATCGTGTATGGCAAGTCTACTACGCGTTGAGCGTACAAACGGTTCGAGCGTGCTCTTGTTTGCAAATCCAGCTTGCACACATAGTCGAAAGCATTTGACCATCAAGGCGAGTGTGGACGACGGTGTAACATGGCCTCAGAGGTATTGGGTTGAGCTTGATGACACAAAAGGCGCCTATTCTTGCATGGCCCGTGCTGGTGCCGACTGTACTGGCATACTGTACGAATCTTCTCAGGGCTTGTTGGTGTTTCAGCGCATCCATGACACAGATTTGGGTATCCATGTCTAGAGCAGTGCTCGTGCTCGATGCTCCTCGTCGGCGTTCTCCTCCTCTTCCCTCGTAGAAATGAACGATCCGCCTCATCCTCCTGCTCATCCTCCTGGTGCGAGGCACAGGCGAAGCAGCGACGAAGCGATTGCGCTCTGTGGAGTTGCCGCGGAATTGCTCGGCGCAAGCTGCATAGGTGATTGCGTTTTGGTGCTGAAGCAGCTGCGTAGCGGACACAGCGTCCTTACTGAGCGGCTCATCGATAGATGGGTGGAGAGGGCGGGAGGAGGGGGCAGGGGGGGGGGACAGGGAGGCAGGGTGTGTAGGGAGGGGGAGGAGGTGGGAGGAGGTGGGAGGAGGAGGAGGGAGGAGGAGGAGGAGGAGGAGGAGGAGAGAGGAGAGAGAAGGGAGGAGGAGGAGGAGGAGGAGAGGAGGGAGGAGGAGGATGGGGGGAAAGGGGGAAAGGAGGAGAGGGTGGGGGCGGAAAGTGTGAGACGCTGCTGGGATTCACGGGAACCCGCTGGCGAAAACTGCAGGGCTCTCGGGCATGGCGCAGGGCCCCCCTTTTGCTCTTCTTCCCTCCTCTCGCTCCCGCTGGCAGGCAGGCAGTGCCGCTGAGGCTCTGTTGCGCAACACTCTGGAAGCAGGGCTACCTCGACACTCGGGGATTGGAGGCCGAAGCTCGCAACAGTCTCCCCCCTCTGTGAGTGTGAGTAGAGGTGGCCGGGGGGGGGGGGGGGGCACTGCTGGAGTCCTGCTCCCTCCATCGCCCTCCCTCCTTCGTCCTCCTCCTGCTCCTGCTCCTGCCCTGCTCCTCTCCTGCTCCTCCTCTCTCCTCCTCCTCCTATCCTCGCTTTCTCCTCCTTCTCCTCCTCCTCCTCCTCCTCCTCCTCCTCCTCCTATTCCTCCTCCTCCTCCTCCTCCTCCTCGTGAGGTGAGGCTGCGCCATGCTGGTCCACACCGCCCTGCCCAGGATCAGAGCATGTGCCGCCAGACGTAGCCACAAGGGCAAGTGCCGCTGCACCGTTCCGGCGCGGCCGTCTCCCTCGCTCTCCTCTCCCCCCTCCCGTTCGGGGGACCGTCCGCCGACCACCTCGCCAGCCCTGGCTGGGCCGATCCTGGGCCCAGGACCGATGAGGTGGCCAGTGAGCGCCCCCCGAGTCTGCCCCCCTCCCCGCCCGCTCGGCAGGGGAAGCATGCTGGCCGCTTCCTGCGCGCCTGCCTTGCGCGTGCGTGTGCCAGGCGCGCCCACGGGGCGCCCGAGGTTGGGCGACGAGGAGGCGGGGAGCAAAGGGAGGAGACCTCCGCGGCGAGGGCCTGGCTGGCGAGGGCCCGGCTGCCTCTCCCAGCACCCCCGTGGGCACGCCTGCCTCGGGTGCCAGAGGCCGCCCGAGGCTTCTCGGCGCCGGAGACCTCCTCACGCGCTCCTCCTCCGCGGCCGCCCCCTTCTCGCCCTGGCTCGGCCACCAGAGCGCATTGTGCGCTCGCCGCCTCCGCCTTTCCGAGAAGGCGCACGGCGTGCGACCGAACGATCTGCTCCTCCTGATCGTTGGGGGCGGCTCGCCAGCGTCCTGCCTCCGCGACCTCCGCGCTGCGGCGGCGGCCACAGTTGGAGCCTCACCCGGCGGGCAGCGGTGGCTTCAAGTGGCGCGACGCGCGCTGCCGGTGCGCTCTGTCGGGCACAGGCGGCGCAAACCGCTCGCGACCCTCGCGCCTCTTGCCTCGAGCTGGCTGGAACGCGGGGCGGGGGGAGGGGGGCCCTCCACGCCCTGGCCGGGCACATCGGGGGTCGGGGATCCTCCCAATCCTCCCGATCCTCCTCCTCCTTCCCCCTCCTCCTCCTTCCCCCTCCTCCTCCTCCTGCTCCTCCTCCTCCTCCTCCTCCTCCTCCTCCTTCCTCCCCCCAACGGCCTGGGGGCACCCGAGGGGGATTTCCACCCTCACACATGGGGACCCCCGGGCAGGATGGTCTGGGCTCCCGCCTCAAGCACCGCCTGAGTCTGGCCTCTTCGAGGCTGGGCCCAGTGGCACTCCTTGCGCACATTCACATCGCGGCGCAGCTCACTCATGGCGCCCATGGCACAGAACTCTCTGGCCAGGCTGCATTCCCGAATTGACGGACAACCTTATCAGTTCATGAAGCGAGGGGGCGAACGCGACTTCAGCAGGCAGGGGCGGCCAGGCAGGAGGGAAGGAAAGACGGGAGGCTGCGCGGCGGTGGGGGGCGGTCGTTGCGTCGTCGTTGTGGCGGTCGTTGTGGTGGTGGTAGTGGTCGTCGTGATGATGACCGTGTCCGGTCGTTGTGGCCATGGCGGTTGTCGTGCATGTACTGGCCGTGTTGGTGGTCGTAGCAGTCGTGGTATTGGGTGCATCAAGGTGGTGGTCGTAAAGGTGGCCGTGTCCCGTCGTACGGTGGTCGTGGTAATTGTGGGTGGTGGTCGTGGTGGTCGTGCTTATGGTGGCCGCGGTGGTCGTCGCGCTGGTGGTCGGGGCTGCTGGCCTAGCGCCCGAAGGCGCTCAGCAGCATCTCACCATTGTGCCTTTGGAGGGTTCTGCTGATTTTCCGCCAGAACCGCCCAGCAGCTCGGAACGTTCGCCGTCGTCCAAGCCCGTACCGCAGCTGCGGACGAAGCTGGCTGCTTCGTCGCTGGGCCGGCCCGCCGTCTCGAAGCCCCCTTTCTTGGGGTAGCGCCCCCTTTCTGGGGGGTAGCGCTCTTGTCCTCCCCCTCCTCCTCCTCCCCCTCCTCCTCCCCCTTGTCCTCCCCTCCTGGGGGTAGCGCTCTCGTCCCCGTGGGGGACCAGTTCGCCCCCTTTTCTGGGGGTAGCGCTCTCGCTTCTCGTCCACCGCCTGGGCGGCCGCCAGGCCATCCTTGTCGGCGCGGGCACCCCTGCGTAGAGCGCAGGTTGAGTGTACGCAGCCGACGTACCAGTCGACGTAGACAGGCCAGCCACAATTGGGGGAGCTGTGGTCCTTACCCCCCTGGGGGACCCATCGATTTCGACACCCCTCTCGAGAGATCGTCGATGCGATGGGTTCCCCCGGTTTCATCTATAGTCCCTCCGCAGGTTGGCGCGGAGGTGTTTCGTGACGCATCCGCGGGTGAAGGTCTGCAGTAGAGTGAAGGCGCTGCCGACCTGGATTCCAGCCTGCCGCAGCTCATGCAGGCGGGCGGCGAACGCCGCGGTCTTCGCCACGGGTGTTGCTCCGTCCAGGCCGGCGTGGACGTTCACACTTTCTTCATCCTGTTGGAGACAGGAGGCCATATTTCCTTAGCAGGCGAGGTGGTCAACCCAGCGAGTTTGGACGGTGGCAGTCAGATGGTTGCGCCCTCCCGCTGACCACGCCTGGGTCTTGGTCTGGTTGACTGCTAGACCGTCCCTCGTGATGAGACTGTCGGCCACGAGTCGCATGGGTTCGTGTGCGCACTCTCGCGAGACAAATACCATGATGTCGTCAAGGTAGCTGAACATTGGGCGAGAGGGCCTGGAGACAAGCGTAGAGCTCGTCGAGCGCGTCTGCAATGCCTAGTGCGATAAGCGCGGGTGAGAGCGGGTATCCTTGGTCCACGCTGCTGCTGGCTCGAACGTGGTGGGCGCCGTCTGCGGGGTCTTCCCACCAGTAGTGCGGGGTGGCCCCCGTGAGCCAGTGGTGGGTGCTGTGGAGCAGTCGGGGGGGCTCGCTGGCACACGATGTCCAGGACCTCGCCGCGCGGGATGCTGCTGAGGGCGTTGGAGCAGCTGAGCGCCAGGGGGACCCCCCGCGTGGGCAAGCCTCTCCCGCCGCGCGCCCGACGGCGTCTTGGTGGGGGCCGGCAGCCCCTGGGGTGTCCCCTCCGCGGGCGTCGCAGGCGGCTCGCGCAGCGAGGCGGCGGAGCACGGCACCGCGGGCGATCTGCCGGAGGGTGCGGTGGCGCTGGCGCCGGGCCGGGAGCTGGGCAACCCAGGCTCGCGCGCGGGGCCTCGGGGCGGAGCTCGCCGAGCAGGAGGGCGGCCGCGGCGACCCCGGTCACCGCCTCCCGAGCGGGGGTGTCGGCCAGCAGCGTGCGCCGGTGCTCAAGCCCGCCGCCGTTTGACCCGGGTCCTCAGCGGCGCGGGCTCTTCGCCAGGCTCTCGGCCAGCGCCGCGGCCAGCGCCGCGGCCAGCGCCGCGCGAGCGTCGTCGTCGAGCGGGGCGGGCGCTTGCAGGAGGTGCTGCGCTGGTCCCTCTGGGATGGGGCTCTGAGGGTCGGCGTGGACGCCAGGCCTGGCAGCCAGCGCGTCTGGGAGGAGGGCTCGCTGCTCACCACCCACCAAACCACCCCAACGCAACCCGAAGGCCCCAGTCTGCCCTCCATTCCCAGTGGGGGGGGGGCGTCGGGGAACATTGAAACAACACATGTGGAACCCCAACCCGAGATTTGGGTCCTTTGGTCAGGTTGGTGTGGTCTGGTAGGTGGCCAGCTGCATCGCCTTGCTGAGGAGGTGCTCCTCCAGCGGCGGCTCCACCGCGCGCGCGTCCTGCCTGGGCGCTGGGGCGGCGCCGCCTCTGGTCCGGCCTGTGGCGCGTGGCAGTCGTGGGCTCGCGGCAGAGCCCACCCTGGTCCCCCTGGTCGCGTCAGGATCCTCGTTGAGCCGCGATTGCTGTGCGCCCTCTGGCCTCCGCGGGTCTTCCCTGGCATGAAGAGGAGCATCATTCGGCCGAAAGACATAAGCACCTTTTCCGCCCGGGCCTGTGCAGCAGCATCGCCGGCCGTTTTGCGCAGCCACAAGCTGCTCGGCCACGCGCCCGCGGAGCTGTGCCTGGGCTGCACTCACGTGTGCCAGCACCTGTAGGATCGCGGGGGCGCAGTGTTCCAGGGCGTCGTAATCCACACAGTCCCGCCTCCCTCCCTTCCTCCCTTCCTCCCCTGAGAAGGGTCGGACGTCCCCCAGCCTTCTGAGAAGTTTTCGAAGCCTTCCCCGAAGACGCAGAATACCTTTCAGTCTGCGAGGGCATCCTCCTTCTCATTTCCCCCCCTCGCTCGCCGCCGGCTCTCCTGCCCTCCCCATCCCCTCCTCTCTCCACTCCCCTCTGCCTCCGCTCCATTCCTCTGCCCTCGCCTCCCCACTCCGCTGCCGTGGCCCCATCTCCCTGCGCGCTGCCGCCGAAGAGAAGGGAAGACGGAAGGAAGGAATGAAGGAAGGAAGGAATGAAGGAAGGAAGGACGGAAGGAAGGACGGAAGGAATGAAGGAATGAAGGAAGGAATGAAGGACGGAAGGAAGGGACGAAGAACATAAAGGAAGGAATGAAGGAAGGAATGAACGAAGGAAGGAAGGAGGAGGAGGAGGAGGAGGAGGAGAGGGATGAGAAGGAGGAGGAGGAGGAGAAGGAGGAGGAGGAGGAGAAGGAGGAGGAGGAGGAGGAGGAGGATCGGGTATAGCCAGGACCCCGGTTAAGGGGAGCCTGTTAGTGATTGGGCCCTGAAGACCAAATATGGACTGGAATCACTAAACCAGGTCTGCCGTAGCTGGTGTTTACCGGGCGACAGCAGTTCCGGTCAGTGGAATGGGGCGGGGGTGGCGTCCCCCGGTACACATCACAAAACCATGTCCCACTACACCCAGTCCTGCCAACGCCCGAGAGGAGGATGAGGAGGAGGAGGAGGAGGAGGAGGATGCTGCTGATGATGCTGATGATGATGATGATGATGATGATGATGATGATGATGAT